TAACACTAGTCGTTTGTCATCAACAAAACAATACGTTCCAACAAATGGGAATATGTGCAAACAGTTCACAACAGGCATGTTCACGGTCGTCATAATATAAATAAAAAACAAACGGCAAAATTGACAAATAGGTCTTCGAACTTTCATAAAAAGGTCAAATAAGTCTTTATGTAGGAGGCTCTGTCCGGCCGTCACGATTTGGGGCGGTTCCCGATAGAATTTTTTAATGAAAATTTTTAAGCATCTTATTCATCAAGTCTAGTTTACTCGTACCAAATTTCAACTAAAACTTCAATTGGGAACACATTCAAATTAATTCTTGAAGATAACCGTGTAGTTAAATGCGTAGTTATCTTCAAGAATTAATTTGAATGCATTCCCGATTGAAGTTTTAGCTGAAATGTGGTATGAGTAAACTAGACTTGATGAATAAGATGCTCAAATATTTTTATCAAAAAATCATGTCGGGAACCGCCCCAAATCGCGACGGCCGGACAGAGCCTCCTATATAAGGACTTATTTGACCTTTTTATGAAAGTTCGAGGACCTATTTGACAGTTTTCCTAAAACAAAACGTACAAGCACAAATATGAGCATATTAGGCATACTTTCTTATACTCCCTCAGTCCCTCCGGTTCTAAATGAATTTCACACTTTCCTTTTTGGGTAGATCTAAAATAACTTCACACTTCTTCTTCCTTCCTTATTTATTTGGAAAATAATCTACATCAAAACAGTGCAAACAGTGTCAAACAGTGCCAAACAGTGTAGTCTACAATAAAGTCAAATTTATTTCATGTGTGAAATATGTGAAATTCATTTGGGACAGGAGGGAGTATACTTCTAAAATAAATATACCCTACTAACATATATACTTGGAAAACCTTAATAAATCTCAAGCTTATACTACGTATTTGTTTCAATTCAACGTTACAGTATTTACACACCGGCATAGCTAGCGGAGCCATGCCATGTCCGGGATCAACCCAAGTTCGATAATTGTGTTTTATTCATGTTCTATTTTAATTATGTATGCGTACAAACTCGAAAAATATCAAACTCCGTGTTAACATTTAACAACTCCTTTATCAAGCCCATCCCAACTCTTTCATCTATACAAGAAAAACGAGAAGACTCAAAATGATCGATCGAGTTGCTGTCTCACAAGTTGCATTCAAAATAAAAAACAAAAACAAAAAACACATTGAATGAAATGAATGTGTTCAAGTTAATTGAAGGTCATTACTAGTGCGTTCAAGTTCAATTGATTTCCAAATCCACCATCACAATTCACACAATAACATGAATACTACCTCCGTCCCGGAAACAAGTTTTCGGGTTAACTTTCATACATTTTAAGGAAATAAAGTTACTGAGGGGTAAATTTACTGTTTTGACACTGTTTCGACACCGTTTGACATTGTTTGACACTGTTATATATACACTGTTTGACAATGTTTTGATGTAGATAATTTGCCAAATAAGGAAATGCGAAGTTTATTTTGGAACATCAAAATAAAGAATATGGGAACTTGTTTCCGGGACGGAGGGAGTATAATGTATCACAACAAAACCAATACTTCAGAAGCCACAACTTAAGATTACACAATGAATTACAATAATTTTAATTTACTACTACGTACTATGTAGTACGGAGTACAACATAATTAAAGAACTTTCTGAATTTGGAATTTAGAAAATATATTCAACGCGCGTCAATAAAAATGGGAATATGTGCAAACAGTTCACAACAGGCATGTTCACGGTCGTCATAATGCAAAATCAAAAACAAAAAGTACAAGCACAAGTACAGTTATGAGCATATTAGGCATACTTTCTTATATACATAGTACTTCTAAAATAAATACTCCGTACTACTTACTACGTATTCCCTAAGCTGCTAACATAGTACTCCTAACGTATATACTTGGAGAACCTTAATACTACGTAAATCTCAAGCGTATATTTGTTCTCAATTCAACGTTACAATATTTACACACTGGCATAGCTAGCGGAGCCATGCCATGTCCGGGATCAACCCAAGTTCGATAAATGTGATTTATTTATGTTCTATTTTAATTATGTATGTGTACAAACTCGAAAAATTATCATACTCCGTATTAACAACTCCTTTATCAAGCCCACCATCCCATCATTTCCTTCTTATATTATCACAAAACATGGTTACTGGATGGTGATTTGTTGTCCTCTTCACAAGTTGGGTCGTGTCTCTTATATATTGAGTCACCATTCGATAATGGGCTCAATACAACCGGTCCATTCTTTTTAAGGATTTAGGATGTTTTCTTTTGGATTGAAATTTGCTGGTCTGGTCTGTCCTGGTCTGATCTGGTCTGGTCTGGTCTGTTTAAGTCTAGTCTGGTCTGGTCTGGTCTGAACTGGTCTGGTCTCTGTGTATTTTATAACTGTCCAAATCTGGTCTGGTCTAGTCTGGTAAACGTCTGGTCTGGTCTGGTCTGGTCTGTTTAAGTCTGGTATGGTCTGGTCTGGTCTGGTATGGGACTGAAAACAGTCCAAAAGAAAACATCCTTAATTTATACTCCAATATTAAATTAATTGGACACTTAAATGATCCAAATTAATTTAATCACTAAATTATTTCCGAATGAACCCACATTAATATTTTCCTTTTGATTAAGCCTAATACTACCTCCGTCCCTTAAAACTTTGCCAAAGTTGACCGGCACGGAGAATAATAAAGTAAAAGTTGTGTGGTTGAGGTTTGTGCAGAGGAGGGAGAAATAACAGAAACCACAAATAATTGACTAAAAGAGAAAGTGACAAAGTTTTTTGGTACGTCCCAAAAAGGAAAGATGGCCAAGTTTTAAGGGACGGAGGGAGTAACCGTTACGAGCAACTCTAGTAGAATCTGACATTGATTCAATTCAAAAGAGACATTTACATGAGTTTAATAATAAGTTCAAAAGTATTAAATAATTTTTGTAATATCCACAGTGTTCATGCGTTATTTAGCCTCTTCTTTGTTAGTAACTTAGTACGTACTATGGCTTCCAGAATAATTTGGATGCCCGACTTTTTAATTATATAAGGCTGGTTTGCAACCACTTTAAAAAAAGCACTTCTCAGCTTTTGGCTTAAAAAAGCACTTATTTACCAAACACTACCAATTTTTTATTTTTCTCGGCTTTCGTGTCAAAAGTGTTTTTCCACTTTTTATACACCAAAAGCACTTATTTTACCAAACACTACCAACTTTTACTTTTCAAAATCACTTTTTTCTCAAACACTATCAACTTTTACAAATAATCACTTTTTCCAAATCACTCCAAAAGTGCTTTTTTTAAGCAGAAGCTGTTGCAAACACTCCCATATTATCGTATAAAATTAGCGAATTGAATGTCATGTGAGTCTGTCGGGGGTTATTGAGAAACTGAACGAAATTACTAACAAACGAAAAAAGCCTCTAATTGTTTTATTTTTCATTTCCCATTTGCCTTTCAATTCCCCGTATGCATGTGCCGGATGGTGCATTATTAGAGATAGCTATAGATTTTCCTTTGTCCACTGTTTGTAGTTGTAATTATCCTTTTGTTCATTAAATATGTTTACTGATTTGTAAATCCAAATTGTAGTATTTACTAGCTAGGAGGTGTTGGTATTTTCATAGTGAATGATACTCACTTTTTTTAACATCAACGAATGAATACTATGCCCTTTTAAAACATTAATTAAGTGATGTGTTCATGAGTTAGGGGTGGGCCAACCCAGACACTGGCTCCAAATTTTAAAAATGACTTAATTTTTAAGATAAAAAATTTCATGTACTTTTTAAAAAAAAAATCTTTATACCGGTCCAGCCCGGTCAGTGTCCTAGCTCCGCCCCTGAATACAGGGACAGAGCCAAAAAATGTGTGAGGGGGGTCAGAATTTATAAAATTATACGGAGCATACAGTATCAAAATGAGGGATAGTTATTATACAATACTTGAATTAAATGTTTCATATGTAGCTGAGATAAATGGTGGTTTAATAAACATTTTGCGGTTAATGTATTGATATATATATATATATATATATATATATATGTAACGTATCATAATGTTCACACAACTAATGACTTAATAAAGTGTTTTATTTTTAAATTTAAGAATATAATCAACGTCACACATCGAATTTTGCTTATTCCATGTTAAATGGTGCTGATTTTTTCAGAAGTCATAACTCTTTACTCCTAATGAGTTACGAGACCCACAATATATCAAATCAAAGTTATTTCAGAGCTCTATGTTCTTGAACTTTCAGCGGGGTCAGCTAACCCCCTGACCCCCTGGCTCCGTGATCGGTGTATTTTTTTAGTGAGTAAAACGTAGTTGGCTAATCCGAAGAATAACCAGACCACGAGTATCGTCTCTCAAGGAGTGGCAAAAAGGAAGTTTTAAATACAGTCCGTGATCACAGGCTAGCACAAGTCATGGTAATCTTTCCGAATAAATATTTTTTGAGTGGTTTAAAAATAAAACTAACTAATAGTGAGTGCAAAATTAAATAGAGAAAAAAAATTAAATTAAATTGATTCAGGATATTAAAACAGGGTTCAAATTGGATGGTTCGGGTTCTGGGTGGTCTTTCGGGATTAGAATTAAGTAAAATTGATTTTCAATTTTTCCTGGAAAGAAAATGAAATAAATTCTCATAGACGAGAATTAAATCATATTATCACAATCCTAACTTACTTCTAAGATCAAATTGCTTGTATAAGATTCGAGCTTATTCAACTCAATTTCTCATAGACAAGAATTGAATTAAATCAATAAATTCATATATGAGGTGATCAAATTCATATAGACAAATATAATTAATCTTATACAATTTTCCAGAAAATTAATTGAATTTCAGAAAAACTAAATTCACACCCTCAAGAACCCATGAACCCTAGTCCCAATTCAAACCCTATATGAGATTAGCTACTCATAACTAAAATCAACATGACAGTATTATGATTAAGCATGATAAGAGCTAGAGAAATAATTGAATTATAAGTAATCAATGGAAAAGTCTGAAACTACCAGTTGGAGACAACCGAACTCCAAATTCAATCCAAATCAAGAACTAGTCAAGTAAAAACGGCTAACACTTACAATTCTTGTTTAGAATCTGAATTGAATTGAAATAAAATGAGAAGAAGTGAAGTTTATGCATTCCTTGGTCTCTTGTTTGCTGCTACGGTTGATTGTCAAAGAAAGGAATGAAAAATCCTTGGGCCAGCTAGTTAACGAAGGACAGAAAGAAAGACTCCACCTGTGGCTACTGCTTGGTTGTATGCTACGGCTGCTGTTGGAACAGAAAGAATCGCATCCTCCTCCGGCTGCTTATGAACTGCTGCTACGAATAGAAAAGAGAATCTCCCCCTTGGTGCGGCTGAATTCCATGAGAAAAAAACCCCAGCTGATCCGTTTCTCTTTTTTCTTTTGGGCTGCTAAAGTGGCTTTTTTTTTCTTTGCTTTTTTGGACTTCACTTAATAAAGTAACCCACAAATGATTCGGCCCAAACAATATGTTATTCACCGCAAATTCGGCCTGTAAAATCACAACTCACCACAACTGCTAATAACATGTAACTCTACAATCAAATTACTCCAAAATGTCAAATTGTGTAAAAAATTATACACTGAATATGAATGCCACCGGGACCGAAAAATAACAAATTTTCACTCAAAACCCCCAATAGTCACTCGATTAATTGTAAAAATTAGACAATTAACACCCAAAGTATAGGTGAAAAGATAGGAACGGGACGAGCCTATCAAATCTCCCCACACTTGAGCGTTGCTTGCCCCCAAGCAACAGTGCATTAAACCCACGGAAAACAAAATAATCACATGTAACACCTGGTTCAAAAATCATTCACATTCAAAACAAATGACTGCACAAGGTCTTTTCTTTCTTAACAACGAAACCAAGATTCACATGTTAAACAATATTTTCAAAAGTAAAATCCCTCTCCAACCGACTAAAATGTAAAGAAAAGCATGATGGTCCCAACGGTGCAGGTGTGTGAAATCCAAACCACCAATCATTCCAAAAAAAACCAAGAATTGTGTGATAAAACTCGGACTACTCGTGATTCTTTTTTTATTTTTTTTTTTGAATATGTAAAGTTGACCAGGTTCTGGATTGCAGGACTGATTCAAGCTCTAGGGCCTGGGAGTTTATCTCATTACTGTGTACTCAACTCTCACACGAGGTGATTCGCGAGATGAGCAGAGCCCCATTTCGGGGATGAAATTCTCGACACATGAAGTGTAACCCCATTACAAGAATCAGTTACCTGCTTAGCATGAAGTTATCCCGATATGCTTAGAAAGCAGAGCTCCTTACGGAGTAAGGATTTTCAACCCCTGGCCAGGCAAGCAATTATTGAAGCGAACTAGTGAATCACGAGTAAGACCGAATTTAATCAACACAAATCAAACCATCCAACGTGTCAACATTCCCAAGAATATACACACCACCCCGATGATTACAACATTACTTGTTCTTTCCAAGAAAGATGGAGGAGATGGAAGTTTACAAAAGAAAATAAAGATTAACAAGTTACCTCTGTTGCGTTGCTAAACCAGAAAAAACCTCGTGCACCTCAAAATGTTTTTGGACAGAATAACTTCATCGCCAAATGCCATGTCCAACTACAATCAAACCTCCCCACACTTAAGGGTGACATCGCCCTCGAGGTCAAAGAAAAGATTAAAACAAAAATAACAGGGGCAGGTTAACAAATAAAATGATTTTCAGCCCGGCAACACATCATAATCAGAATAATAATCAACACAAACCACACAAGAGGAGTAATATGAGAGTAAACACACATTCTTAGCAGTGTAGTAAAAGTTGGCAGAATACCGTACAAGCCAAACAATGGTGAATAACCTCCCGAATATCCTTCAGAATAGCGTAAAAGGATAGCTTCTCGATGTCTTGTGATGGGAAGACCGGGTAGTGTGTCTGGTACCTCAATCTTAAAGCTGAAATAGCTTTCTTCTGGATGCGTAAACGCTGGAAATCCTGCACATGTCTGCCTCCAACTCCAAATCAAGTGTGTAGAGCTGCCATAACCGAGGTAGTGTCCTAGTGTCTGCTGCAGTTCAAAAGGGAAGCTGCTGTGAGATCCTATCTGTGTACTTATTCCCGCATTCTGCTGCTACCAAAGCTTGCTGGTAGTCTGAAAGTGAGCTGCTGGAGCTACTTTGTCTGCACCCCAACGGCCAGCTGCTCTGGTCCTAAAAAAATCAGCACTTCAAACCAGGTAAAAGCTCCCAGCAGCTTAATTTGTGTCGCATCTGCTGCAAAATTCAGTTTCTCTCCGGAGACCCCAACTTCTTGAGCATATGTAGGTCTTTAACCTTTAACCATGCAAGTGTTTGATGTTGTGTCCAACTCTCATACCACTCTCGGGCCAACTGTGAAGTAAACTGCAGCTCGCGGCTATGAGGAGCTCCATCAACATAGGGTTGTGTTTCTTCATCCACATCAGTCTATGATCATTCTGCCGTACCTGCATTTCAGACCAAACAACCGCACAACCACACGATGATAACAAAAAAAAACAATGGGAAAAAAAAAAAGATGCATAAAAAAAAAAATCCTAATTCTAAATTTTTTTTTTGGTGGGTTGCCTCCCAGGAGCGCTTCTTTAACGTCACTAGCTTGACGATAAGACCTCCTTCCTAAACTGGTTCAAGGCAAAAAACTTCCTTCCTTTTCTCAAACATTCCGCCAAAATAGTGCTTGAGTTGGTTGCCATTGACTTTGACAACCTGGCCGTCATTATGCTCAATCTCCACACTTCCATAGGGATATACTCGACGTACAGTGTATGGTCCCGTCCATCGGGACTTCAGTTTCCCAGGAAAAAGTCTCAACCTGGAATTATACAAGAGCACCTTCTCCCCCTCCACAAACTGGCGGTCCGCCTTAATGTGTTTGTCATGAGCCTGCTTCACTCTCTCTTTATACAAATATGAATTATGAAAGGCCTGAGCCCTCCACTCATCCAATTCATTCAGCTGAAAGAACCGCTCTTTACCTGCACTAGATGAATCAAGACAAACAGTATTTAAAGCCCAAAGTGCCCTATGTTCTACTTCCACCGGTAAATGACAAGATTTCCCATAAACTAATCGGAAAGGAGTAGTACCAATCGGGGTCTTGTAAGCTGTCCTAAAAGCCCATAGCGCATCATCTAATTTTTCTGACCAATCCTTACGAGTTTGCGCTACAGTTTTTTCCAGGATAGCCTTAAGATCCCGATTCGCATTCTCTACCTGCCCTTGAGTTTGGGGATGGTAGGCTACTCCTTGCCGATGTTGAACCCCATATTTAGACAGAACACGAGCTAGCGGATCATTACGAAAATGGGTTCCTCGGTCACTAATCAAAACTTTTGGGACTCCAAACCTGGAAAACAATTTTTTCACAAACCGCACAACAACTCTAGCATCATTGGTAGGGCTCGCAATAGCCTCTACCCACTTTGACACATAATCAATAGCGACTAAAATAAATTTATTGCCTCTTGAGCTAGGAAACGGGCCTACAAAATCAATCCCCCAGACATCAAAAACTTCACAAGGCAATAGATATGTCTGGGGCATCTCATCTCGTTTAGAAATATTTCCTACCCGTTGACACCTATCACATGAGGCAACATAAGAATTCGCATCCTTGAACAACGTGGGCCAATAATACCCACACTCTAGCACTCCTCTTGCTGTCCTATTACCAGAAAAATGCCCCCCAGCAGGGCCAGCATGACAATGGTACAAAATCTCACTCATTTCACTCTCAGGAATACATCTTCTTACTACCTGGTCAGCGCAAATCCTGAACAAATAAGGATCATCCCAAAAATAATACTTTGCATCAGACAAAAACTTTTTTAACATGTGTCGAGATAACCCGGTAGGCTCAACATTGCCTACTAAATAGTTGGCTATGTCTGCATACCAAGGTACCTCGGACCCAATCTCAACCTGCAAAAGACGTTCATCAGGAAAAAGTTCTTCAATAACATCATCATTACCGAAAGAGTCTACCAAATCAGCATCTAATCGTGATAAATGATCAGCTGCTTGATTGGCAGAACCCCTCCGATCCCTGATTTCTATGTTAAATTCCTGCAACAACAAAATCCAACGGAGAAGTCTAGGTTTAGAGTCATGCTTCTGAAATAAATATCTCAACGCCGAATGATCGGTGTAGATAATTACTTCAGACAAAATAATGTACGACCTAAACTTCTCCAAAGCATACACAATAGCCAGAAGCTCCTTCTCTGTAGTGGTATAATTTAATTGGGGTCCCGCTAAGGTTTTGCTAGCGTAATAGATGGGGCGGAAGTGATTATCCTTCCGTTGGCCAAGAATGGCCCCGACCACCTGATCGCTAGCATCACACATCAGCTCAAAGGGAATTTCCCAATCTGGAGCAACTAAAACTGGAGCTTCCATCAACTTAAGTTTCAAACAATTAAAAGCAAGCAAACATTCATCATCAAACAAAAAATCAGCATCTTTCTCAAGCAAACGGGTGAGAGGTTTGGCTATTTTTGAGAAATCCCGTATAAAACGACGGTAGAAGCCAGCGTGGCCGAGAAAGCTACGGACAGCCTTCACATTCTTTGGAGGCGGGAGTTTCTCAATAGCCTCAATTTTCGCCTTGTCAACCTCAATCCCCTTAGATGACACCTTATGACCTAGCACAATACCCTCCTTGACCATGAAGTGACACTTTTCCCAACTTAAGGCCAAGTGGGTCTCCTCACACCTAATTAAAACTTTCTCCAGATTATGGAGGCATTCATCAAATGACTCTCCAAAGATTGAGAAGTCATCCATAAAAACCTCCATAAAATCACCAATAAACTTCTCAAAAATAGCAATCATACAACGCATAAATGTGGCAGGGGCATTGCATAGACCAAAAGACATCCTACGAAATGCAAATGTCCCAAATGGGCAAGTAAAAGTGGTCTTTTCCTGATCAACGGGATCAACGTGTATTTGAAAATACCCGCTCATCCCGTCAAGGAAACAATAATAAACATGCCCCGCCAAACTCTCAATCAACTGGTCAATAAAAGGTAAGGGAAAGTGATCCTTTCGGGTGGCCTCATTCAGTTTACGATAATCAATGACCATCCGCCACCCGGTCACAGTCCTACTAGGTAGGAGTTCCCCCTTCTCATTCTGAACAACCGTCATACCCCCTTTCTTGGGGACCACATGAGTAGGGCTAACCCATTGGCTATCTGAAATCGGGTAAATTATACCCACATCCAGAAGCCTCAGGACTTCAGCCTTAACAACATCCATCATCTTGGGATTTAAGCGTCGTTGCGGTTGCACGACTGGTTTATACCCCTCCTCACACTTAATTTTGTGGGTACAGAAGATTGGGCTAATCCCACGAAGATCCTCAAGCTTACGAGCAATGACCTGCTCGTGGCACCTAAGAACATCCAACAATTTTTCCTTCTGTCCCGACTCTAACTGAGCTGAAATTATGACAGGCCGTTGGCCCTCTGTGTCCAAAAATGCATACTCCAGGTGACTAGGGAGTGGTTTGAGTTCAGGAGTAACCTTATCAGTGGGCTGCTCCTCAAACTCAGTAAGCAACTCAGGGAAAACATCATCCCTAATCACCTGCTCGCAATCAACAGTCATTTCTTCTTCATTTTCAGCCACTATATCCCCCACATAATGAATGTCACTATCTGGTGGGGAGATATCACTATCGCCTCCAAACAAATAACCCTCCACTGACTCAAACATATCAAGATAATTGCATGATTCAGTGGGGTCTGAGGCCTTACTCATCACATCTGAGAGTTTAAAGGTACACACATCGTCCCCAACTCTCAGAGAAAGTGAACCATCAGCAACATCAACAAGGGCCCTAGCAGTAGCCAGAAAGGGCCTCCCTAAAATAAGTGGAGTCTCACGATCTTCCTCCATGTCCATGACCACAAAATCGACCGGGAATATGAACTTGTCCACTCGTACCAATACATCCTCTAGAATTCCTTTCGGGTATTTCACCGATCGGTCTGCTAGCTGGAGGCTCATACGAGTGGGCTTAAGTTCACCCAAGCCAAGTTTCATAACCACAGAGGAAGGCATCAAATTGATGCTCGCTCCTAAATCGGCTAAAGCATTATTAAACATAAAATTTTCAATAGAACAAGGTACAAGAAAACTCCCTGGATCTTTTCGTTTTGGTGGCATGGTCCTCAGAACAACCGCTGAACATTCTGCATTGAGATCCACCACTTCTGGCTCTTCCCACCTCCTCTTTTTCGTGAGGAGGTCCTTCAAAAACTTCGCGTACCTCGGCATCTCTGTCAATGCTTCCATGAATGGCATATTGATATGGAGCTGTTTTAGATGCTCCATAAATCTGATCAAGTTCGTGTTATCATTGCTCTTCTTCACCCGTGTAGGGAACGGAAGGGGTGGAGTCTTCTTACTCTCCTTTTTCTTCTGAGAATCTTCTTTTTGAGCTTCATTACTCTTGGATGGAACAGGGGCAGCCACTGATTCTTCTTCAACCTCCTGGGAATCTGAGCCTTGAGGTTGCTGGTCATCTCTTTGATGTGGCAGAGGCGGAGTATCAACTTCTGGAAGTGTTCTCCCGCTTCGCAGTGTAACAGCCTGCACTTGCTCCCTTGGATTAGGTTCTGTTGAACTCGGAAGGCTGCCTGGTTCTCTAGGAGCAACTGAACTGAGCTGGCGAATGAGAGCTTCAAGGTTGCTGAAACGCTGATGCATCTCCGCCTGATTTTTTGCTAATTCAACCACTGTTTTCTCCAACACTGCATTTGCAGGAGGCTGCTCAAGCTGTCTTTGATGAGGCGGGACATAAGCGGGCTGGTTTGGGTGGCCTCTATTCTGGAAATTTGCTTGAAAATTAGGGGCATTCCGCTGCCCTTGATTCTGATTTTCAGGCCTCCACGTGCCTCCTGCTTGCTGAAAGTTTCCTCTCTGACCTTGATTGTTGAAAAATTGTCCACCTCCTCTCTGGCCTTGACCATATTCCATGAAATTGACGTTCTGGACCACTGGTGATGCCTGATTCTGAGCATAAAGAGGACATGTGTGAGTGAGGTGAGCTCCCATGCACATCTCGCAAGATAAAGCGAGTTCTTGGCCGGTTGGGCTTGGATAGCTTGTTCGAACAAGAAGTGGGGCAGAATACATAGGATAAGAGGGCTGATATGCCCCAATATTATGAACTTGCTGCTGTTGAGAGGTCTGCGCCTTCAAGTCTTTCACTTCCACTACCAGCCCCTCAATCTTCGCTGTAAGTGCAGTGATGGGATCAAGATTGAGCAAACCGGGTGGATTTTGAGCTCTCTCTTTACCCGCATACCAATACTTGTCATTTGAAGCCAAGTTTTCAATTATTTGCTCTTCTGCCTGTGGGGATAATTTCAGAAACATACCCCCTTGAGATGCCCGGTCAAGTTCTCTCATATACTCCAGCCGCAACCCGTTATAAAATCTGCACATAATTGTGGCTGCATTCATGAATGTTTCAGGGCATTTCCTTTTTAACATCTTCAACCTATCCCATGCTTCACTGAATGTCTCGGTCGGAGCTTGAGTGAAATTGAGAATTTCTGTCTGAACCTTGATAGCGGCAGAGGGAGGAAAATACTCCTGCATAAATGCTTGATGAAGTTTCTCCCATGTATCAAAATGCCCGTTTGGAAAGCTACGGAGCCACCGCGATGCCTTGTCTCTCAAAGAGAATGGGAATAAAGTCAACCTCACTGCCTCGCTGGATACCCCGTTATATTTGAACGTGGCACAAGTCTGAATAAAGCTCTCAATATGCTCCATTGGATCTTCATGGGCGTATCCACAGAATGGATTATTAGCAAGCATCTGGATCATGGCCGGCTTGATTTCAAAATTGTTGGCCTCAATGGTGGGTGCACCAATGCTATTTCTCGCCACATAATTAGGAGTCAGCGTCTCTAGAGTTGTCTGATCGGCCATTTTCTCCAAGTCTTCTAGCAAACGCCTTTTAGCTCGTCCTCGGAATAAGCGCTCAGGATCAGAATAACCTGCAATTAAATCTTGTTCCCCCGAGGAGCGAGTGCGCATACACTGGTTCCTGCAGCTTAGTTCACGTGCAAAGAACACCAAAAACGACAAACAAATAACAGAAAAAAATAGAAAGTCTCACCGACTTGCTTTTACCTATTCCACAGAAAAGTACTTAACAAACAACCGTGCCACTCCCCGGCAACGGCGCCATTTGATCGGTGTATTTTTTTAGTGAGTAAAACGTAGTTGGCTAATCCGAAGAATAACCAGACCACGAGTATCGTCTCTCAAGGAGTGGCAAAAAGGAAGTTTTAAATACAGTCCGTGATCACAGGCTAGCACAAGTCATGGTAATCTTTCCGAATAAATATTTTTTGAGTGGTTTAAAAATAAAACTAACTAATAGTGAGTGCAAAATTAAATAGAGAAAAAAAATTAAATTAAATTGATTCAGGATATTAAAACAGGGTTCAAATTGGATGGTTCGGGTTCTGGGTGGTCTTTCGGGATTAGAATTAAGTAAAATTGATTTTCAATTTTTCCTGGAAAGAAAATGAAATAAATTCTCATAGACGAGAATTAAATCATATTATCACAATCCTAACTTACTTCTAAGATCAAATTGCTTGTATAAGATTCGAGCTTATTCAACTCAATTTCTCATAGACAAGAATTGAATTAAATCAATAAATTCATATATGAGGTGATCAAATTCATATAGACAAATATAATTAATCTTATACAATTTTCCAGAAAATTAATTGAATTTCAGAAAAACTAAATTCACACCCTCAAGAACCCATGAACCCTAGTCCCAATTCAAACCCTATATGAGATTAGCTACTCATAACTAAAATCAACATGACAGTATTATGATTAAGCATGATAAGAGCTAGAGAAATAATTGAATTATAAGTAATCAATGGAAAAGTCTGAAACTACCAGTTGGAGACAACCGAACTCCAAATTCAATCCAAATCAAGAACTAGTCAAGTAAAAACGGCTAACACTTACAATTCTTGTTTAGAATCTGAATTGAATTGAAATAAAATGAGAAGAAGTGAAGTTTATGCATTCCTTGGTCTCTTGTTTGCTGCTACGGTTGATTGTCAAAGAAAGGAATGAAAAATCCTTGGGCCAGCTAGTTAACGAAGGACAGAAAGAAAGACTCCACCTGTGGCTACTGCTTGGTTGTATGCTACGGCTGCTGTTGGAACAGAAAGAATCGCATCCTCCTCCGGCTGCTTATGAACTGCTGCTACGAATAGAAAAGAGAATCTCCCCCTTGGTGCGGCTGAATTCCATGAGAAAAAAACCCCAGCTGATCCGTTTCTCTTTTTTCTTTTGGGCTGCTAAAGTGGCTTTTTTTTTCTTTGCTTTTTTGGACTTCACTTAATAAAGTAACCCACAAATGATTCGGCCCAAACAATATGTTATTCACCGCAAATTCGGCCTGTAAAATCACAACTCACCACAACTGCTAATAACATGTAACTCTACAATCAAATTACTCCAAAATGTCAAATTGTGTAAAAAATTATACACTGAATATGAATGCCACCGGGACCGAAAAATAACAAATTTTCACTCAAAACCCCCAATAGTCACTCGATTAATTGTAAAAATTAGACAATTAACACCCAAAGTATAGGTGAAAAGATAGGAACGGGACGAGCCTATCACTCCGCCCTGGCTGGATGTGTTTATGGTAAAACCTAATCAGATTTGTTTTGTTGCTTTTAACATACACATCCATTTAATTAGAGATAATTACCCTAGGTATGACTAAAACTCAATGAGTTTCTCAATCTATGACCTAACAAGTTTTCTCCCTAAAATAATATTAAAATTCGAAATTTAAAATTAAAAATCGAAATAATTAAATTATAGATAATTTTTATGGACAAATATACCCTTTGGTTTATATCTATAAAACCCTAATTCCCTACTTCTTTTTTCCTAACCATTGCTACAGCCGCTCATGTGTACCTCCGCCGCCCACACACCCAATCGCCGTTGTTGAGTCTCCACCCGCCGTTTAGCTGCCGGCCGCCGGCCAGCGCCGCCTCCTTCAACAGATCTGTAGTCTGGGAGCACGGCAACAGTCTTTCTAATATCAGTCTCTGGCCTGGGAGCAATTTCACCCGACGTGACCTGGGTGGGAAGCTGTTGGTCGATGAAAAGCTTCAAACACCACGATACCACGGTCTCAAATTAAAGATTCATTGGTCGGCAAGAGATATAGAACTTATACAGATGTATATATATAATATATGCATGGGCTATTTACCGTATAGAAATTGATCGAGGAGATCATTGAGGTATTTGAGGATTATTATTATTATATTAATATTTCTCAATTGGTTTCCCAATGCCTTATGTTGTTGCCTCGTTGGAGGAACAATATGTGGTTCCCAAAGAGTATATATACTCGAGCCCTGTGAACATTTATGCACTATATTGTGATTGATTGTTGGCATATTGGCAGCAATTTAACTGGTTTCCATTCTCATTCATAATTACGTAGTATTATTATTTTTTAGATTAGGGTTGTTGAATTTAGGATTTATGGGAATTTAATTAATATGGGCATTGAACATTGGCGATGAACATGACGATAAATGTTGAATATGGGCAGTGAATATGATGACTTATAATATGACGATAAATAATATTGTAAATGACAGTGAATGAATGCATTGAAAATTTTGTTGTGCAGTGATCATGACCAGTATTGCTATTACACAAAGCAGTAATATCATCATGAAATCCAATATATTTAATTCAACGTAAAATATAAAATTATTAAATCTAAAAAAATCTAAAAATAAATTCCTCAAGTAAATGAGTAGAAAATTAATTTTGGTAGAAGTGCAGTGATTATTACCGGATGTGCAGTAAAGTTGCGCATTAATGTCATGCATTAACGGCAATATAAAGTGCATTATTTTTAATTGGACGAAATTAGTGCAAAATGCACATATTTTAAATAAGGGTATTTTAGTCATTTAACCATTAAATAAAAATGAGATTTATTTATTTATTTGGATTTTTGGTCATAGATAAGTATTAAAATTAGTTAGGTCATAGATTGAGAAACTTATTGAGTTTTAGTCATATTCTAATAAATTTCCCATTTAATTACTCTATTAGATCATTTTCATTTTATTTGATCTTCATATAAAATGTCATTTGGTGGAATGATAATGACGTGTGCAATGTGAGGCATATGAAATGATGGTAAGTTAGCAAGAGACTGCTAACAACAGAGGTATGAGACTATCGTACGTGGTGACGATGGGTGCAAGCTAGGCTGTAATATAATTGGGAAAATATCCTCAATATTATCAACCCGGCCTTAAAACAATTCTGTAAAAGTGACCAGAATCTTTCCTGGGCATAAAAGTGATCACCACGGGTCATTAATTTGGTAATTAGTAATAAAAACCTAACTTATTAGTTGACGTGTCATTTGGAAACTAACGGAAGTTTGGAAGGCGATTGAAGCATAGTCCTTCTACGGTGAAATAGAGCTCCAGGGATAGTTCTTCTTCGACATATTTTAGCGATTTCCTTTTTCAGCGGTGACTATGATTCGAAGTTGATATGGAGCTTTAGAAAGAAAAATCGTTCTCATAGGTAATCCGTAATGTATAATTTATAGCTTTTGGGAAAAATCGAGTGTGTCTGTTCTTTGTTTCTTATATAGTCGAATAGCAGAGCATGTTTGTAAATCTGGATAATTGTGAACAAGTATGTAGGGGACATATATTACGAAGTCATGTAACTTGGATTTTGTATGTTTAAATGAGTAGAGTAATTGCGAATTTGTGTATCAGAACCAGTGTCACTGCGAATTTGTGTATTAGAACCAGTGTCAGTGCGATTTAGTGTACCTATACCAGTGTCATTGCGAATTAGTGTACCTATACCAGTGTCACTGCGAATTTGTGTACCTATACCAGTGTCACTGCGAATTTGTGTACCTATACCAGTGTCACTGCGAATTTGTGTACCTATACCAGTGTCACTGCGAATTAGTGTACCTATACCAGTGTCACTGCGAATTAGTGTACCTATACCAGTGTCACTGCGAATTTGTGTATCAGAACCAGTGTCACTGCGAATTTGTGTATCAGAACCAGTGTCACTGCGAATTAGTGTACCTATACCAGTGTCACTGCGAATTTGTGTATCAGAACCAGTGTCACTGCGAATTTGTGTATCAGAACCAGTGTCACTGCGAATTTGTGTACCTTTACCAGTGTCATTGCGAATTAGTGTACCTATACCAGTGTCACTGCGAATTTGTGTACCTAACCAATTTAACTTCAAATTTGTATTGATTTTCAGCAACAAAATACCAACTGCGGAGTAGTGCTTTTGTCTAGAGATGGAACAAATTTTGATTACAGTGATGTTTGATGGAAGGTGGAACGTTCAGAAAAAGTTTGTCTCAAAATCAACACATGGACTTGTACTTGGCTCCAAGGCTTCATATTGTGATTTGATTAAGGAGTTACGGGACATGTTAGGGCTTCAACTTGATGTGGATATTACCTGCATTTCATACCAAATTGATCTAGGCTTTGAACCTACACTTGTTGATGGTGACAGTAGCCTAAAATTTTATTTGCATCTAAAAGGTATGGAATTGAATGCAGTAGGAAAATACCCCTTATGTGTACAAATAATGAAGACAACTGAAATGGAGATCATAAGTGACACAAACCTCAGAACAAGAGAATCTGAAGTGACAAACAATGACATGACAGTGGATCATAATAGCAAAAATGGTGCTATAGTGACAAGTTTGGTTTCTGGACAGAGAGATTCTTATACGATGCCATTCGATCAACTGTCAAGTTCACAAACACCTCTGTTAGCATGGCTGGAAGGTGCAAGCAATGATCAGGTTGTGGGGATGGACACAACCTTAAGATTACATGGAATATATCCTAGCAAAGATATTTTCAAGGAGACATTGCAACTTTATGCATTGCACAACAAATTCCAATTCAGGACTAAAACATCACATCCAAATGTCTATCATGTTGTTTGCTTTGATGTAGATTGCAAGTGGGCAGTACGTGGGGTGAGAATAAAAGACACATGTAACTTTGAAGTGAAAAGGTAAGTGTAAATTACACACTTGATTGTTTCTAGTTTTTCTTTAATAGTAGTTTTCATTGGATGTTTCCTGTTCTAGTTACTATCACTAATATATGCTAGTTTGACGTAAATATTATTGTGAGAGATGCTTGAGTTTGAAATAAAGTATAGAAGGACATGCATATAGTGTGTAATGGATAGTAGATCAGAAATTTGTATTAAAAGTGACACATAGCATTCCAGTTTTATTATGCAGTTACACTGTCGTAGATTTTGTATTATTAGTGATGTTGTTTGGTTGATTATAAATGTAGTTTTCTTTTGCATGTGTTACAGGTTTGATAATATACATAAGTGCTCCATTGATAGTAGAATGAGTGGTAATAGACAAGCAAGTGCATTGATTATTGGGAAGCTAATTAAACATCAATACCTAGATGCCTCAAGAAAACCCTATCCACCAAAAGCAATAGTGGCAGACCTAAACAGGGAATTAGGGTTGGATTTGGACTACAAAAAAGCTTGGAGAGGTAAGGAGAAGGCTTTGGAATCAATATGTGGAACAGATATTGAGTCATACATGAAATTGCCAAGCTTGTGTTATATGATACATCAAAAAAATCCTCGATCTATCGTATCTCTAGACACTGATTCAAAAAACAATTTTAAGACATTGTTTATATCATTGGGGGCATTTAGAGAAGGATGGCCTGCTTGTAGGCCTATAATCAGTGTGGATGGGTCTTTCTTGAAAACAAAATTTAAGGGAACAATTCTAACGGCATGTGGTATGGATGCAAATAGACAAATCTTCCCACTAGCATTTGGAATATGTGGTAGGGAGAACAAAGAATCATGGACATGGTTCTTTACAAAATTGAAAGAGGCAATTGGAGAACGACCCGACATGTGTTTCGTTTCAGACAGAAATGAAGGGCTTCTTAGGGCTGTGAAAGACGTTTTTCCAGGTACAGACCATGGGTATTGTGTGCAACACATACTTGGGAATATACTATCCAAGTTAGGGGGAAAAAGGAAGAAAGTGATTAGATTCTTCAATGCAGCAGCAAGAGCTCCAACTTCACGATTGTGTGAATATTATATGAGGCTACTTGATGCAGAAGACCCAAGGATTCGAAAATATCTTACTGAAATTGGTGCCAAAAAATGGGCTAGGAGTGAAATGACAAGAAGAAGGTACTCGATAGTGACTTCTAATAATGCAGAATCACTCAATGCGGCTGATGTCACTGCCAGAGAATACCCGATAACAATGGTCATTGAATTTCTAAGAGTAAAATTCCAAAAGTGGTTTCATGATAGAAGAAAAGAAGCATCTGAAAACAACATGACTTTGTCTCCAATAGCAGAAGAAGTGCTTTTGAACTTGCTGCATGATTCTGCAGGGATGATAGTGAGTTATCTTTTTTTATCAAATTGAAATATAAGTCTCTTATAACTGCATAATAGCAACTAACATTGTATATCACCATGCAAATTGTGTCTTAAAACTGTCTGTGTTAATAACACTGAGTTATATAACACTCATTTGGACATTGTGTTCACTTGC